ACCTCCCTTGGCACAACTTAAGACCATTTCTTCTCATCATTTAATATGAGACATGGCAGAAGAAAACAACCCCTACCCCACTATAATCTCTTTTCAGTTGGTTGTAGAGAGTGATAAGGTCCCCTCTGAGCCTCTTCTTCTCCAGGCTTAACAACCATGCTCCCTCAGCTGTTCCTCATAAGACATGTTTTCTAGACCCTTCACCAGTTCCCGTCTTTGGTACCACTCTGAAACCTCAATATCCTTACAGAAATGAGGGGCCAAAAACTGAACACAGTACTTGAGGTGTGACCTCACCAGTGCCAAGTACAGAGTCAATAACATTCCAGGTCCTGCTGGCCACACTGTTCTTGATACAGACCAAGATGCCATTGGCCTTCTTGGCCACACATGTATCTTTTTAAACAGATGATCAAACAATGAGGTAACAGATCTTGAGTACACATTAAAGGACAGTAACACCAGTGGGGGAATATCTTTCAAAAAATTATTACTACGTTTCTGATTCGTCTTTCTAACATGCTTTCTGCTAAAGCTCAACTGGAGTTGAAACTGCTAGAAATGTGGGGAACAATAGAAAGAGTTTTTTCAAATATATTAATGGCACCAGGCAGTGTAACAATAACATCAGGCCATTACAGGATGAGGATGGCCACCTCACAAACAGGAAGAGAGACAAGGCACAGGTGTTTAACCTTTGCCTCTGTCTTCAACACTGATGACCTTGGGGGTCTCAGTGCCCTGAGCTGGAGGACCATGACTGTGAGAATGATCAACTCCCAGTCAGCCCTGAAACTGTGCTCCAGCTGGATTCCTGCAAATCTATGAGGCCCGATGAGACTCACCACAAAGCCCCTCTTGATGATTTTTGAGCAGTCTTGGGAATCCAGAGAGGTCCCAGCTGACTGGAATCTGACAAACGTTGTCCCAGTCTTCAAGATGGGCAAGAAAGAGGACCCTGGAAACTACAGGCCTGTCAGTGTCACTTCGGATTATTCTGGGAGGTATTGAAAAACACCAGAAAGACAATGCAGTCATTGGTCACAGCCAGCACGGCTTCATGAGGGGAAAGTCCTCCATATCAAACCTGATATCCTTCTATGACAAGGTAACCCACTTAATTGATCAAGGGAAGCCAGTTAATGTAACCTTTAGGATTTCAGTAAAGCTTTCAACATTGTCTCTCACAGGATCCTTCATGTCCAGCACACATCTGGATAAACACATCTTGTGGTGGGTGAGCAATTGGCTCACGGGCCAAGCACAAAGGGTAACAGTGAATGGAGGAAAATTGGACTGATGATCTGTCACTAGTGGGGTTTCACAGAGCTCCATTTTAGGTCCTGTGCTCTTCAGCATCTTCATCTTGGATGCAGGACTGCAAGGGATAGTAAGCAAGTTTGCAGACAACACAAAACTGGGAGGAGCTGTTGGCTCCCTGGAAGGCAGGGAGGCCCTGCAGAGACCTCAACAAATTAGAGGACTGGGTAATCACCGACCATATGAAATTCAACAACAGAAAGTGCCAGATTCTTCACCTGGGATAGGGCAACCCTAGATGTATGTACAGACTGGGGAAAGAGATGCTGGAAAGCAGTTCCACAGAAAGGGACCTGGGGTCCTGGTCACTGGCAAGTAGAATATGAGTCAGCAGTGCCCTGGCAGCCAGGAGGGCCAACTGTGTCCTGGGGGCATCAGGCAAACCATCACCAGCCAGTCAAGGGAGGGGATTGTCCCGCTCTGCTCTGCACTGGGGAGGCCTCATCTTGAATACTGTGTGCAGTTTTGGGCACCACAATGTAAGAAAAATATGAAGCTATTGGAGAGCATCCAAAGGAGGGCAATGAAGATGGTGAAGGGCCTTGAGGGGAAGCCTTAGGAGGAGTGGCTGAGGTCACTTGGTCTGAAGAAGAGGAGACTGAGTGTAGACCTCCTTGCAATCTACAACTTCCTTGTGAGGGGAAGAGGAGGGGCAGGCACTGATCTCTTCTCTGTGGTGGCAAGTGATAGAACCTGAGGGAATGGCCTGAAGTTGTGTCAGGGGAGTTTTAGGTTGGATATTAGAAAAAGTGCCAGGAGTTGGACTCGATCGTTGTGGGTCACTGTCAACTCAGCATATTCTGTGACTCTGTGATTCTGTGATTACCTTCTGTTTTGCTGATCTGATACATATTATATCAGGGCAATTATTTGTAACTTGTATTTACCTTTCAAGTTTCTTACACTGTACACTGGAAGAAGAGATCGTATCCCTGAAAATTTCTCTAGATTTCCTACTGATACTACATAATCTGATAAAATGAGACTTGCTCAGTTTGCCTGTACCATTTTTTTACACAATTGTAAATAAACTATATTTTTTTTTATTATTACTCCTTTAATAAGCTATTCAACACCTGTCCTTAAGAACAATTCACTTCAGTTGCTGTCTTACTATGAGATGTATGGCCTTACAGAAGACCCTATTTCTCCTCTCTGCATATAAAAAGAGAATGGTATAACTAGCTCAGATTCAGAATGTGACTTGTATGTGCAAGGTCAGTATATTCAGAAAACTTTTCCAATTGGAAACTTGATCTCAGAAAGGCTTTTATTATGCCAAATTGCCAGTGGCTGTAGCTTTACAGTTAAAAATAGAAAGTCAAAAGCTAATACAAATTAACAGTGTTGCAACTGACAGCCAGCAATGACAAACTATGACCTGGCTCTTCATAAGCCATTGAAGTGGTGCAATTACTATTGTTTCTATTAAAAGCTCAACACTGGCATATGCCAAAATGGGAAATAATTTAAAATAATGTCAAAATGTCAAAGCAGTCCAATTTCAGCAATTATTTTATCATGGCTAGATTCCCCTTTTGGGCAAATATTCTTTAGGCTCCTAGCTGCACTTCTGATTTCCTATCACTGCCTAGTTTACAAATAAAATTTATTAGTCTCTGTCTATCTATATATATGCACTTACATGGAAAAATATATATTTCAAAGCTATTACATGTTTTGTAGCATGTATTGCAATAGCATGTGTTGCTATTGCAATACATAACTTTAGGTTCAAAAACTAAATTATTTTACTCTCAAATATCCACTGCTAAAAATGTGACTCCTTCAGACTTTACACAAATTTCCCACTCATGCTGAAATGTGCATGTGAGGACATAAGCATGAAGATGCTACTGAACTTTTAATATGACTGTCTTCTAGCAGTCAATTTTTGAATGCATATTCCAGTGTGCAAGTCCAAGTAGAAGACTACCATTCTAGTTTTCTACTAGTCCAAACAGAAGACTACCATTCCATGAATCTGCAGAGGAAAACTCATATTCTTCTGTGCATAAATAACAAAATCTATTCAAACAGGATCAAGGAGCAGTGTTTATAAAAGATGAAACAATCTGTTTTCTGATCTAGATTCTTGCACTGATTTAGTGATTCACCATAAACTTTTAACTTTCTAACAAAGCATTGACATGCACGAAAGAAAACTATTTCAAAATTTCTTTTTTTTTTTATTTTGTTTTTAAAAAATTACATGATCAAATTCTAAGAGCTTTAAGCTGAACAGTGCTATAATATCTTCTAGTGTGGAAATTCAAACATTTCCTAGATGTGCAAACAGTACTTTCAAATATTCTATTGGAATGTAATCTTCTGCATAGAGAAAAATTCTGTGCTTTGTAAAACATTTTCTTATTCTAATTAAATTTCCATTCTCAATTCTCCTCTGGCATAGTAGCAGACCATTTTACTGAAGTCAGCAGTTATGGCTAAATATATTTCTAGTACAAATGAACAATTATTAATAAGCAAAAACATATTTGGATGTCCTATTTTGAAAGTGCATTACGCTAAAAGAAAAAAAAAAATCCCAAACAGAACCAACAAACCAAATCCAGCTTCCACCTCCAAAAAAGGTAACCCTCCAAATCTTCTCACCAATTCTTCAGCTCACGAATATTAAAGTCATACATTTGTCAAAATGTTAATCCAACATATTCATCCACTAGTGTAAAACTCTGACGTATCAATGTATTTGCACAATACATCTCACCAGACAACAGTCCCAGATAACTCAATCCATTACAGAGCATTAAGAGATTTAGGACAATTTTAGACATACATTCTATGCTGCTTTTGTTGGTGTTTTTTTTTATTTCCAATAAACTAATGGAGAATAGAAAAGTTCTGTGACCATTGGAATTTGAAATTTATAACTAGCTACATCAAAATATGGCTTATGAAGGTCAAAATCCAGAGAGAAAGATTACACTGACCCTAGCAGAAGCACTACTATTTTAAACTGTTGAGAGTTCTTTTATTTTGATACACAAAAAGACACTACTTTGCTGCCAGCTAGTATGCACTTCTACCAGTTTCCACTGAACGCAGATGTTCTTTCAAGTGTACATCTGAAATACAGATTTGATAACACTTTGATGATATTAAAGATTCCAGACAGAGACTGCCTCAGAAAAGCATGTGACTTTTAGATCCATTTACCTCCCTATCAACACCAAACAGCTACTCTAAGTTCTAGGTGAAACACAGTCGAAATTGTCACTAAACTCTAAAAAAAAATACTAAGAACAACAAAAGCTAAAAAATGCACCATATGTTGACCTGAAAAACCTCCTAAGTGAGATACAACACAGAACAGATATAGTAAATTCCTACTGATTATTATTCAGTGGTGACAAGCAACCAAAAGATGATTGGGGCAGTCATCACAACATTTTCACTTGGGCAAACAAAAAAACAATTTAAGACCTAGATATATCTTCAGAAGATATGATTAACCAAAAATATCTGACTACAGGGCACCAGTCCACTCAGTGCAGAACATACATAAAAGATATAAATATCTGAAGTAACACTCGAAGTATATATGAATTTTCACCAAAAATTACAAGATTTCTCTATAACATGGTAAAGGAAAAATGCAATAAAACTAGCAGTTTGTACTTCAAGAAATGGGGTACATAAAGTTACTTAATACTTACCACTGTGAAATTCATAACCTTCAAAATCCATATTGTCATTGCTAAATTAACAATCATGGTAACCAACAGCAGTAGGACAAAGAAGTATAAGCACCTCTTTCGCCATCCATAAATCCCTACTGGGTAAAACTGAGGTTGCTCAGTCCTTGGAAGGCTGTTCTGTTGTGTTGCTAATATATACTGCTCTCGTGTCATCTGGAAAAGAAAGATGTAAGTATAAGTAAGTAAATGAGAGATCTGTTTTTCATATATTATAATACATGAAGATTATATGAGAATGTATAGAAAATCAATTTCTATGGACACAGAATGGATGCATTCATCTAGCATTAAGTACATCAATATTATTTTTACCATGCATTTATAAAGAATTTGGTGGGGTTTGTTGATTTAAAGTAAAGCTTTGGTTTCTATTTCAAACTGTATTTGCATTTCAAATTTATCAGCAAGAAACTTTTAAAAATAGTAATGTAAAATAGTAAAAATAATAATGCATGTATCTTACACTCTGTTTCTGAATGTTGTTTTATTGTCCTTTATGAGGTCATTCAGGAAAATTTGGTTTGTTCTGGTTTTGGCTGAGGTAAAGGTAATTTTCTTCATATAGGTTGTAACCAGTACACTCTTTCATATAAATAGGAGAAAAATCTCATCTTTCTAAAATACATATTTAACAATTGAAGTTATTGTTTTTTATTATACTTAGTAAATTAAATTAACAATTGATGCCATTATACATACATCCTTATTTTACAAAAAACAGAAACTAATTTTGCCCTTTAAGAGATGTGGATATTACCATAACCTGTTGTATTTCTGAACTGGTTTAAGTTCTTGTAGCACACAAGCAAGCAAACTTCTTAAAGAAGTTACTATTAATACTCCCTTAGAATAAAAATCTTTATGGCATTTAATAAGGAACCATTTAAGATTTTTTACATCCTTAAATTTCTTTTACAGATATTTATACTCATATTCAGCTGTCACATTGCCTTCAGACTGGAAAGTATTAACTTTTCTCCATGACTTAAAAATGAAATTAAAGCAGTCTCATTCTGTTTATGTAAGAGTTCATCCTGAAATATGCCCATTAAAAATGTTGGTTTAATAGGCTTTTTGCTCAGGAGGAGGAAGAAAACACAAAGCAAAAACTATCCAAAACAAACAAACAAACCCCTAACAAACTTATAAACCAGATAAAATGGTCAGTTTTGCATTTAAAAGCTGCCTTTATTTTCCCTAAAAGAAAGCAAAAAACGCACAAAAACGGGTCAGTTGATTGAATGAGAAATAAAAACCAGATCAGATCCATTTGAAGGATCAAAGAAATGTTGATTTCATAAGATTTTTAAAATGTGAAGCTCAAAAATATTTATGTGAACATCTGTGCTGCTAGATATTTATCCAAATCAACACTCTCGAGGTTTTCCCATTCGTCTTCGTGAATGAGATATTAATGGAATAAATTAACTCACTGTGAATAATTGGAGCCACAAGTCATAGAATACACATTCATATTACAACAATATATATATCACTGAAGTAAGTCAAAACAGAAATAAAGAATTTATTAAGCAGGTTTTAAATAAGTTAGTAAACAGGCATTTTGTAAATTTTATTCTTTTCAATCAAAATTGCTTCTCTTTGCCAGCAATTTCAATTCAATGCAATGTTTATCAGTTTATTTACGTAGTAAACCATTAAAAATAACATTTGCCTCAATGATATTTCTCAGTCCTCTCAGGCTTTAAGACCTTAGATTACCTCCTTATCATATCCTGGCAGTTTTCATCCTAGTTGTGTCTGAATTCCTTATGAATCCAGAAACAGAATGCATGAATGGGTTAATCAATGTCCTCCGTACAGTGAGTTTCTACACATTTATTTTGCCATCCGTTGCAACAAAAATGCAATATATGATTATATTTTGAGATTTGAAGTAATTAGTATTTTTAGTACCATTTCCATTGCCTTGTGATTTAACTTAATATATTACCTATGAAAAAAAATCATTAAAAATAGTTGAAAAGTCAGCTTCTAGATTGTGAGAATGTCAGAAGTAGCACTGGTCCTAAAATTGTGAACGTGGTCTTATGGAACAGACCCTTCAGAATACAGTCATTAAATAAAATGACATTTTATTCCATTACCACCAGCCAGGCATCATCAGTTCCCTTTGTGTATTCTGTTCAACTGTGTGAGGCTTGGTGAAGCACGTGAAGCAAGTTGTTCCTCTGCAGCCCATGGAGGTGCACACTGCAGCCCATGGAAGACCCCATGCTGGAATAGCCAGAGGTACAAGAGTCTGTGACCCCACGGAGAGCCTGTGCTGCAACAGGATCCTGTGAACCTATGGAAGGGAGCCCACACTGAAGGAGCAGGTTTTCTGGTAGGACTTGTGACCCTGTGGGATACCTGGGCTGGAGCTGTCTGTTCCTGAAGGACTGCACCCCATGGAAGGGGCGTTCGCTGGATCAGTTCATGAAGAACTGCAGCCTGTGGGAAGGATTCACATTGAAGAAGTTCACAGAGGACTGCTTCCCATGGCAGGGACCCCACAATGATGCAGGAGAAGAGTGTGAGGAGTCCTCCAATTGAGGAAGGAGTGGCAGAGACAACATGTGACGAACTGACTGCAATTCCCATTCCCTGTCCTGCACCACCTGGGGTGAGGAGGTTAAGAAAACTGGGAGCAAAGCTGAGCCAAAGAAGATGGGAGGGGTGGTGGGAAGGTTTTTTTAAATTTGTTCTTATTTCTCACTATTCTCTCCCTGGGTTTCCCAGAGATCAATATTGGGCCCAACACTGTTTAGTATCTTCATAAGTGATTTGAATGATGGGATCAAGTGTACCATGATTAAGTTTGCTGATGATACCAAAACTGAGTGGAAAGTGGTTGCTTCAGAAGGGAGAGCCACCCTGCAGAAATACCTAGATAGGTTGGAAGAGTGGGCTAACAAGAACCTCAGAAAGCTCAACAAAGACAAATGTAAGGTCTTGCAAATGGAAAAACATAATGCAGGAGTGCAGTACAATCTGGAATTTACCCAGAAGGGGAGCAGCTCTGTGGAAAGAGACCAGGTGGTCCTGGTGGACAATAAGCTCAATATGAGTGAACAGGTGCTGCTACAGCAAAGGAAGCCAACAGGAGGCTGAGTTGCATCAACAAGAGTTAAAGAAGTTATTATCCCACTCTATGTAGTGCTGGTCAGGCCACTCCTGTAATCCTGTGTTCAGTTTTGGTCCCCACTACACAAAACAGATGAGGACAAACTGGAGAATGTCCAGAGAAGAGCCAAAAGACAATCAAAGGTCTGGGATGCTTTCCATGTGAGGAAAGGCTGAGAGAACTGGGATTTTTTGGCCTTGAGAAAAGAAGGCTTAGGGGAGACCTTATCACCATGTCCCAGTGCTTAAAGGGTGGCTACGAAGAAGATGGAGACTCCCTTTTTACAAGGAGTCACATGGAAAAGATGCGGGGTAATGGGTACAAGTTACTCCTGGGGAAGATTCCAATTGGATAGAAGAGAAAAATTTTTCACAGTGAGAACAATCAGCCATTGAAATACTCTCCCCAGGGAAGCAGTGAATTCATGAACATTGGACATTTTTAAGATTTGCCTGGACAGAGTGCTGCGCCACCTTGTGTAGACTCTGCTTTTGCCAATAAAGGTTGTACCAGTGATCCTTGAGGTCCCTTCCAACCTGGTATTTTATGATTCTACCATACAATATTTTTTTAATAATTGGCAATGTGTTAAATTTATTCCTCAAGTCGCATCTGTTTTGCCTGTGACAGTATGTGCTAAGTGATCTCCCTTAACCCATGAGCCTTTGATCGTATTTTCTCTCTCCCTGTCCAGTTGAGGAGAGGGAGTGAGAGTGGCTTGGTTGGGCATCTGGTGACTAGCACAAGGTCAACCCACCAACATCATCTGCAAGCAAGATTTTCTTTTTTTTGATCTGTTGGATATATTTTCAATCAAAAACCAAAATCAGCATTTTAATTCTGAAACTGCAACATAAAACCACACACAAACAGCCACCTTTGGACCTCAGGCAAGTTCGTCAGACCCGATTCATATCAGTTCTTCCTGAGCCCCCACAAGGATCAAGGCCTCAGTTTTCTACCAACTGCACATGTATATGTAATAAAAAGGCCCAAAGAACTGCCATTTGCTGTGAATAGAAACATATTATTGTGATTTTGGCTTTATTTTTAGGATTATTATTCTGGTCAGTTACAGTTATTGGCAGCACTCTCACTACTAATCTGTAAACTTATGCAAAAATCATCAGCTAATTTTTAAACTATTGAAAACCAAAATCCTAGTTGGTCTGGTAGTAAGTACCTGAAAATATTAAAAGTATTAAGAAAAAACCCACATAAATGTTAGATAAATTTCTCCATTTAGTGTCATGTTTCTATCACCAACAACTGAAGAGATACTAGACCATGTCTACTTCAGATAATTATATTTAACTGAGAAGGAATTCTGTGAATTCTGTTTTTTGTAAATCACGAGATGGCAAAGAAGTTCCAGAACATAAGAAGAAGAAGTAAGTGCTTATACTTTTTTAAAGTGACTTGTATATGCCTTGCTAAACCATGCAATATGACAGAACATCTTCAAACAACTGGTCACATTTAAAAAATCTGAAATTTTTTTGCCAAGAATTCTGATTGATAAAGTGCACATACACTCTATATACAAAATTAAATACACATAGGTATTTATGAATAAATACACAGATCATAGAAATACGTGTATATATACACATAAACTTTTGAGGATTGAGTTTCTATTTCATCCTCTTAAATTTTCATAGAATCATAGAATCAGATGGGTTGGAAAGGACCTCTGAGATCATCAAGTCCAACCCTTGATCCACTACCTCTGCAGTTACTAGATGATGGCACTAAGGGCCACATCCAGTCTCTTCTTAAATACCTACAGGGATGGAGAATCCACCGCTTTCCTGGGCAGCCCATTCCAATGCCTGATTACCCCCTCTGTAAAGAATTTCTTCCTGACTACCTAACCTAAACCTTCCCTGGCAGAGCTTGAGACCCTGCCCTCTTGTCTTACCAACAGCTGTCTGGGAAAAGAGACCAACCCTCCACCTGGCTACAATCTCCTTTCAGGGAGCCGGAGAGAATGATGGGGTCTCCCCTGAGCCTTCTGTTCTCCAGG